TCCTCCTCTCTCTCTCTCTCTCTCTCTCTCTCTCTCTCTCTCTCTCTCTCATTTTATTCCTTATTTTTTCGACCGGTTCCATCCGGATCGATCCCTCAGCGCCATTAGCGATTCCTCGCGTCTCTCCTCTATCTGCGTAATAATTCAAGCGGCGACTGCGCGACTTTTTTCCCGCGAGAGGAAAGGCCCCCTTGAGTAATTTGCATAGACGGTCGGTACAATTAACGCTGTGTAGATCGATAACGATGGGATCGGCGTGAAACGTGCGCGTATCGAGAAGCAAGGAGGTGTGACGGTGGAGAGTCAGGTTAGGTTTCGATGCGAATTTTCATCCGACGTATTTGGAGGGAATATAATTCCTTCGAGTAGATTTCTGTGTAGGATGGGACGAAGCATATCGGAGAGTTCGAATTGCACGGTTTCGAAGATAAAAAAAAAAAAAACAATCGGCAAGAGGATTATTCGCGAGTTTTGTCTGCAACGATAATTTCGATGATATTGATATTACCAAAAAACATTTACATTTCGAACAGTAACGAGTAATATATCAATTTGGTCAATTTGATTCAGAGAATACAATATTGAACTTGATCCCATCGCTGCACCAGTTGAACCAAATACATTCCATTCGCATTGTTTCGAAGCAAGATAAATTCCCGCGACTCGTTTCTCCGTGCACGCACGCAACTATCTCTTGTAAACGGAAGATAACGAGCGCTTGAGAATCTTCTGAATCTTCTCGACGCGTAACGATATCAATTTTATCGAATATCACCACCGCTTAAAGAGATAATAGATGATGATGATAAATAAGACGGAAAGGAAGAAAAAGTGATCGACAAGGAAGAAACGTGTCGATTGGAGCAAAGTTGGGCGAATAGTCGCTTCCTTCTTTTTCTTCTTCTTCTTCTTCTTTTTTTTCTTCCTCGATTGCCCAACGCGATCGCGATGCGTAAACGTGTACCGACGTTTATTTGAATACGACCACTATTACGAGAATAGAAAGCACGACAATCATGAGAGTCTCCCAGAGGTTCGAACAATGTCCTCGTCTGGCGAGATCCTCGGCTCTGGACTGGCGCAAACGGCAATAAAACGGTTCCTGAACGACAATACCGTCCCCGCAGAACGGTGTCTCCCGTCATCGTGTTACGTTAATATCCGTTATCTCGGAAATTGTCACGAAACCTCTCTCCTTCCAAACATCTGTTTCACTAATTATCAAGCGTAACGTTTGATACTGTACACATCTGTGTCTGCGTCTCTCTTTGTCGTTTGAACGAATTTTTGATCTCCTATAAGTGGATTTCTGATTTTCCGCAAAGTGAAAACAGACAAATTTGAAATGTTTTAATTCCTGCTCGTGTAATCGTCGAGTCACAGGTTCGTTTAATTTATCCAATGTGTTCGAAATGGCTTGCAAGAAACTTCTTTCGATCCTATCCTAAAAATTTATATCAACGTGTTTCATAAAATTTAGATATCATTGACATCGTAATTAAAAGCTTGAAAGCTCATACATCTGAGAGAGATTTCTATTCACATTGCGTCGCAAATTATAAACTAAATAAACGTTAAAAGTGTCTCTTGAAAACTGCATCCCTGATGGAACCGATACGCCATATATAAAAGTATCCACCGCGTAATTTTCCAATTTCGCTTCAAGATATTAAAGAAAATGGCGAGATTAGTATCTCTCTGGTGCTTTCGAACGCTTATAAAATTTTACCACGAAATGGAGGCGACAGAGAATCGCATTTAACGAGAATTTATTTCGTTCCTTCTCCCTCCCTCTCTAGGAGACGCGCGTACACGCGGTTGTAAATGTAAATTCGACTCGGCGAGGAGGAGAGAGGAGGATAGAGGGATGCTCGGTGGCGTAAAGCTGGTGCGTGGGCACGCGCACCGACCTCGTCTATTTATACACGCGCGCGTCCGCGTGTACACGCGCACAATGGACACCTCGCTGCTTTCAAATTAAATTCGAGCAGTACCGCAATGCCATTGTTAAGCTCATTGCCGTCGCGGTGCGATCCCACCTATCGTAGACACGAGCGAACGCCCACTTTCGTCATCCGGGAAAAATCCACT